AAATAAAAATTTCTTGTGTTCATATGTGCACAAATTTTTTTTTGCAGATCATAAGATCGACGAATTTCCAACACTGGGAATGTGCGGTTGTAACATTGTACATTAGTAGTTTTCTGCAGATAGTTTCTAAATTTGTAGAATCTGCATTAGTTATATACTCCTACTACGTTTTAAAATTTCGGAACTATTGATGTAACGCAAAATCAATAATTTTGATTGGCCAATTTAAAAATTTTTCAATTCATTTAAACAACAGTCAAAACCTTGTTCAACGAATAGAGTTGTTAGTCAAATATATAGTTTTGACAAACATTCAGGCGTTTCGACTATCGAAAAATATTCGACAAGGTCACTTGATTTGCGTAACGTTGAAACATGTCGAAATATCGAAATAGAAAGCCTAAATTGATGTCGAAAGCCTAGAAGTGTCTAGTTACCAACAATAATTAGTAAATTTGAGAATAGAACCAATTATTTAATAATAACAATAATGTGCTGATTAATGTATGTACACTAAAAATATCAATTTTTATACAATGTAACTTGCCCTTAAGGAATTTGAGTGCAATAATAATGAAGATAATGAATTTGATAAAGATGAATTTGGAGCAGCGTTTGTACAAAGTTTACAGAACGAATGAGATAGCACATAACAAAAATGTAAAATTTGTTTAATTTTTACGCCATTAAATATTTTATGAATAAGATTTTAATATTTGGTTAAATATTTTTGATATTGTTTAAATAGTTGAGCTGCACTCAATAAATGGCATTTTGACAATATTTAGGCATTTATTCAATAGCATTTAGGCATCTTAACATCAATTTGGACTTTTGATGTGATCAATTTAGACTTCGACATACCTAAATGTCTAATGACCGATAGATTCGTTGAAACTGTAATAAAAACATATTCCGGTAATATTTTTCATGACCTTTTACTACAGTTTTATATGTAGTTGTAAACTCTAAATTTGGTAAAGTATCTATAGTTGATGCTAAATTATTTGAGCCAGACAAATACAGCACACACACTCTATAATAAAACAATCTATAATGAATACTAAGTGAAAATCTCTCTATAACTAACTTCCCTTTTGTTTTTTATAATTAATTCTCTCTTTAGCAGAAAATTACACATAAGGGTATAAAGTTCATTATAAAGAGTGTGAACTGCATAAACCGTGTTTCTTTTTGCCAAAGTTACTCCTAAATTTGCCATTTGATAACAAAGTATCATTATCTTTTTTTAAATTGCATAATCTCAAAAGAACCAATTATTTCAGGATCTCTTGTTTCAATTATTTCGACAAATTCATCAAAATAATTTATAGGCTCTTTATTTTCATGACGTTGATAGTAGTCATTAAAAGTTAAATACTTGGAAATTTAACTGCCTCTAAAGATGTTAATTATTTATTAATATATACATATAAATCCTTTGCCTGTCGTTTTATTTATTGGGTAAATTGTAAGAGTTTCTATTTCCTTTTTTAAAAATTCTGATCTCATTTATCTGAGCCATTTTAAGTTGACTTATGTATTATTTTATTATAATATTCGTTTAGAACACGTTAAATCATTTAAATGTAAATCATAATAACATCCCTTTTCAGTTTTTAATTAAGCAGTTTCAGAAATAAGACTTTTTTTCTTCTTGACAAATGGAACAAACGTTAATTTCAGGCATTTTATGCCTTCGATAAGGAATAATTAAATATAGTATAGAGTTTGAAGGATTATAGATCTTTGTGGAATCTTTTGACAGCTAGTGTAAAACTAATAGAAGAACGTTATAGTTATGAATAACGATTAATTACTTTTATTCATGTGACTGATCTGAGTACTTTAAGCGATATAAATAGTCGGCGAATGTTATTTTAGAATTAGCATATATTATTGGATTAGAATAATTGTACAAGTCACATTATCTGTACCACTCCAAGTATTAATTAATTGATTGATTAGTAACTTTCCTGTGACAACCTTTGGTTAATAATAATAATAATAATAAAAGGCGCGTTTTATCTTATTACGAATTTTTGCATAGTCGAAGAAGAAAAGTCTGTGTGATTGATTCATGACTCTTTCTGATGGTTAATGGCCTGGCCAACCTTTAATTATTAGTTAGGATGTGTATATACTTTCTTTTATTTTTATTTTAGCCATGTGTCAGCATTTTTAAAGTCCTGTGAGAAATCATTCCCGTGAGTCAGGCAGAATATAAATATTGGGGAAACAATATTTGGGGGAACTAGCCATATCTAATTGATTGAGTATTGATAGTATATCATTTTGCTTGCGATATCTATTAAAGATTTTGGATATATTTCTAAAGAATGCTCCAATGAATTAACTGCCTCCATTTCCATTTCTAAGGCTCCAAACGAATCGAATTGATTTGAATCAAACCGAATTCCTAAAAAATTTTTTTTTAATGTCATATTAAAATTTATATTAACACAGTGAATCTCAATTTATCATACCTCGATTTAATTAATAATAATGATATTCTTCTCAACATAACGGATTTTTATATATTAATATTAATATTAATATATGAAGCAAAATTTTTAAAACCCGTTATGACAAGAATTAATTATAGTCCGCTTGACTGTATTAATATAATAATGGATTTTTTTCAACTATCTGCTAAACCAAGATTATGTATATTTTTAATTTTAAAACTTTTTAATTGATAAAGGATATTATTTAGTGATGGTGACTGAAACTATTTTGAAAAAAGGTAGTTTCGCCAATACATATAATAAGTATTTAAATCAATCTACTTTATTTTAAAATAACTTCCGATTTTAGCCATTAAAATTGGTTTTAGGCCAATTAATTTTGGTAATTTCGGCCCACCAAGTAAGGTAGTTTCGGCCACCATCATTATTAATAAAAAAGTAATCCAATTTACAGTTGCACAATTCATTAAATCTAAATAGCTAATGAATGATAATGATTCGAATCAGTTCGAGCTTCATTGATTCGTTCGGAGCCTTATCCATTTATATAAATTCTCCAATCTTTTCCAATGAATCGCACCAAATTCCACTATGATGACATTTTTTGTAAATGATGCAATGATATCTTATCAAAAAAAATTCAAAGAAACCAATATATGTGATTTAATTACAAAATTTATATTGGTAGAAGTTGAAGATGAGAATTAAATGCTGATCAACTAGAATGAATAGTTTGTAAAAAACAATCACCCTGTAAAAATACTTATCCGGCCACTTTGCCTCTTAAATCTTTGTTTTTTTTCTTTTTTCCTTTTATAATTTAATTGATCGATTGACAAACACATATGATGTTTAATTATTTCATTAGCGCACAGTGTTTTGTAAAAGAAACCATTATTATTAGTCAGACGATTTGTCACCGTAAAATAGAAATCATACCTGTGTAACCATCAGGTTTTTAAAACTATCAAACCCCATCATGCTAGCTAAAAACATAACCAGAAGGGTTTTGTCAAGCCGAGCTCAAGCTAACATTCCCGGTTTGCTTGCGAGTCAATTATTAGTATATATTAGTATTAGATATTTTAAATTTTACGTAATTATAATAGTAACAGGCCGTTATATCACGGTTTACCAGAATTAAAACCTAATTTCGCCCAACATCCAGCATCTTTTTTTGCCAAATTTAAATGCAAATTCTGGTACCGTTATAATTTTTTCCACTTATCTGGATAAAAGAGCAATAATAATGTCAAAACCATTGTTTCTGATTTAAAAGATGAAGACTTTCAAAAGGCTGCTCAAGAATATTAAGGAGGCAGTTCGGTTTCCTCTGAAAAGAATCATTGACTTTCAATAATTGGTAGTATCTTCCCCCCATTGGAATCATTCTCTACTTATTTTTCAAGATGAAAAAAGAATGAGAAAAAAAAACAATAGTAGGCTACCATTTTAAAATATCACTCACTTGTCCATTGATGCTAAATTACTAAATTTGACCCCCAAATTGTTCACTTTGTATGCCCAGATTGGTGAAACAAAACTTAGTTACACATCAAAGTACTTTTTACTGCTACTTGTATACAACAAACATTAATTTTAATTCTTGTTAATTCTGAATAAAAAATTTTCAAATGAGTAATCTTAATACTCCTGGTAGTCATGAAGGACGGCAACCAACAATGTTAGAGTC